TACGAAGGGAGCGCGTTTCAACTTTGATGCGCCGGGGTTCGCTCGCTGCCTGCCGCCCGGCCGCTGCCGCTTCGCGGGTCGCCGACTGACGGCGGTGACACCCCCGGCAGCGCCCGCGGGGGGGCCTCTCCTTGCGCCCGCCTGGCGGAACGAGCGCAGGGCTGAGCGGCGGTTGTCCCCTCCGGGCCCCTCGCCCGCGGTGAGCGAAGGGAAGATACAGATACCCTCCCCGCAGAAGCGGTGCTCTCCCCCGCGTCCTGGGGCGGGTGTTCGGAGGAGCTGGGGCCGCTAAGGGCTGGCGCAGGGGAGCCCGAACCCACGCGCGGAGTACTCGCTCCTCCGCGAACTCGCGCGGTTGTATCCCCTGCGCGGTTTGCTACGCAGAGCATAAACAGTTGTGATGAGGAACAGCCAGCCGTTTAAAAAAAAAAAAAAGATTTGTCTGACGGGGATTGGCTACCGCTGTAGTGGCGAGGGGCACTTCTCCTCCTCCTCCGTGAGCTGAATCGGTTCCTGCTGAACGGTGTGAAACACCTGCCCCGATGTTGGTCGGGAGAAGCGTATTGAGGGTAACCGCAGATGAGAAATTCGGCACTCAAGGGGAGGGGAAAAGCGAAACGTTTCCTCCCTGATGAGTAGTACTACGGCTCTTGAGAGCTACGCGACTGCTTGTGAAGCAGTGGAATTTTCCTCTTGCTGATGCTTCTCTTAAACCATCCCGGTTTGCTCTTAGTCACTGATCTCTTTGCTGCATTGCTGTGTATTTCACCTATGATTGATGCTGAAAACTGACAAATTAATGATTGGGCATTTAAGTAAGTTAGGCACTATCATGCTAGGGCATAACAGCTGACTAGTGCTCAGGTGATGGTAGATTAACCGTATCTATGCTGAGTGGAAGAGGCAGCGTAAGGTGGTATTGAAGATGTTGTTTAGGTATTACCCTGGTGCTGTCACCTTTAGAAAGTTCACTTACGTTTTAAGACCATTCCAGTCATTTAGGTGCTTTACTTTATGGTGGAAATCTTGCGTATGTGGGAGCGCTAAAGTATGCAATACAAGTACCAGGGCAACAAGGGCATTAGGATATGCATTTTGATGAGCTGTGTGGGAAATAAGAAATTGTTCAACTTGGAGAACTTTTACCTCTCATTAAGGTCAAATTAGTCTACCCAGTTTCTGATCTATGAAATGGTTGTTAGATTCCCAATCTGACATACAAGTGCTGAAATTATGTATTAGGAAAGGCATTATGCTACAGCCCTTTCTGCCCCACAGGCAGCACTGCTGGAAGAATGATTGGCTCAAACCACTGCATGTTCTTGGTGTGCCCTTATTTTTTTTTTTTTTTTCCCACCGGTCATTGCTCAATACACTCTCCTAAATAAGCCCTTTTAGTATATGAAAATGCGTGCTCTTCTCCCTCCCAAACTGACTCTTAGCATGCCATGGCGAACACCCGAGGAAACACGTTTAGTGTGTTCAGTTCCTTTCGAACATGGTTAGCCTTCACATCAGTAAAGCTCTGCTGAGGCCTGGCCTCACTTAAGCAATTTGCAGACTTACTTTAGAGCAAACAAAACAGCATAGCAAGTGTCATAGTAACTGTCTGTTATACTTCTGATAACCAGGCTTTATTCTTCAAATAGGAGTGTCTCCTCTTCCTTCTTTGTCACTTAAAGGATAGCACTTAAACAGAGAGATGGGTTTCTAATTTTGCTGATAACTTGGTATCTGAGAAATGCACATTTTTTTCAAACTGCATGCATACGCATATGTTTGATCTGTCTGACAAACACAAAATCATAAGGCGGTATTTTCAACCATTTTGTAGTCCTAAAACCACAACTATCTAGCGTGAAACAGTCTAGGTGCTCTCATACGGATGTATTTCGTAATATGTTATTGGTATAGGCTCCAAACTCTACACTAGGTAACTTTCACATGGCTTTATGGTCAAGTCTACAGCACTTGCATCATATGCATCCGATTTTTCTAACAGAAAAAATCGAAGTGTTTCTATCACAGCAGTTTTCAACGCTACCGGAGTAAGTGGCTTTCATTTACAGAAGTAAGCTAGCACCTCAGTGCTGATTAATTTTGAATGTGTGGAGACAGTGAGCTAGGAAAAACTGTCTTATTGCGCCTAAACCCTCTCCAAAACCAATGGTTTCAAAGTGATGAATCTTTGGGTGATTGTATCAGATCAAATGTATGTTTGACCTGAGCTAGTTACAACTGCAGGTCTTGATAGTTGCTTGCTTCTTTTGCTCTTTAAGTAGAGGTGATGAAACTGGATTTCTTTTTTTTCTTATCTAGCCATGTTAATTTACAGTAATGTGCAATGAGACCTCTTTTCCTTGAGTGCACTAGGAATCACTTGGCATGACATGGCTTGCAGCGGTGAGCAGAGAAGCTGCCTCCAGCCAGAGCTTGAACAAACACTTCTCACTTAACTTTTCTGAGAACGCTGATACAAGCACATCCTGTTCTACTTTCATGATGTCTCTGCTGTTGATTTGATCTGTTTCTGTTAAAGACAGCATGGGTTTTACCCAGGTAAAAAGACCCATGGCCCAAGTATTGCTAGTGCTGCCAAAGTCTGAATTTCTTCCAGACTTTGAGTATCATGTTTTCTGCTGCTCGTTGAATGAGAGGCATCTGCCATGCCTGACAGTTTCAGTGTGGTGGTCTAACCCAGCTCTCTGCAGAACAAAGGCTACTGGCAGGTCCAGGTTTGCTGTGTTTTATGTAACTTCATGCTAGCTTCTTTGAAGATTTAAAAGTCATTAAGATAATTATGTAGTCTTTCCACGTTTCTTGTTTCCTGTGTTGTCACTGTCCCTTCAACAGCCGCTGCTTGTCTGTCTGTATTATTCTGATGTGTTAATTCTTTTTCTGGCAACATCTGTTAAAATGTGGAATAACATGAAGTTTACATGAATGTCTACTGACTAATAGTGCTGCCTTTTTTTTTTTTTTCCCTATGTGCAACTTAAAATATTATTTTTGATGAAGCAATATGAAAGTTACAGACCTCAGCTGCACATGCTAGCCCTGACAATTGTGTACGCAGAAGAGGAAGGTACCTGACTTTTTTGAATGTCTTAAAATACTTTGCACCTAGAGCTGCAGTTTCAGGCACAATGTTGATTTGAATCAATTATGTACCATGTCAGCGTGCTGTGATGATCTGCACATTATTCCACAAGATGCCTTTGGCTTATAAAGTTCTATATACAATTGAATTCTGATCTTGAAACTCTAACAAGTGTGTTGCTCTGTGGAAGTTAAATACTTGCAAATGTTCTGCAGCTGCTTCAGCAACAGTATTACTAATGCAAGTCATTATGGAGCAATTAAAAAAACCCAAACAACAACTCACAACAGAGCCATTAAGGAATTAAGACTTTGCTGACACATGTATTCCAACTTGTGATAGTGATCGTGATGCTCACTTTTCTTTGTGCTGGTCTGACTCCCAAGGGTGTTCTGGGCTGTATTTTTCCAGAAGAGTTTCAACTGTGTATGACAATTCCGTGTCTGGCAGGTTTCCTCACCCTCTCTTGAGGAGCATCCCCATGTAGTAGGGAGCCACAGGACATGGACTGCTCGCCTTGAGCTCAGGGAATAGCTTAAGGATGGGAAGTGACAGTGGCTTCCCAGCACTCGGCTCCTTATGAAACAGATGTGTGTAGATCTAGTGGTATCACTTCCATCAAGCAATTAGTTTGTCCCCTTTCATAAGTGATAACTTGGGTAACTGTCAACCCATACATCAGCATGTGTGTCAGTCCTACCTGGTGCCTTCTCAACTGTGGGGTTGTTCTGGAACTGCCTGGGGGCCACATGTGCTAGCGCTGGAGGCAAAAGTAAAAGCAAAACTGGACTTGGGTACAGAGAAAGAGAAACAATGTAAGAAGAGGCATATGAAACTTACATAACCTTTTGTGGATCAGAAATGAGAGGTAAGAGGTAAATGTTCAGGATTAAAACCATCATATTTGTTCTGAAATAAACTGTATCAGACTAAGTTTCTGTAGCCACGGAGTACATAAAGAAAGAGCCTATTTTTAGTTAGCTCTTCTGTCAGCAGTGTTACAATTGCTGTTACAATTCTAGTCTCCGCACTTGCTAGAGATGACCTATTGCATCTCCACAGCCATCAAAATAATGGCAGTGTTGGTATTTAATGAGCCACTTTCACATAAATCTTTTAATACTAGGCTTAAGAACGTAACTCTGAGCATCAGTTTTGAGAACATTATCTGGCAACCAGTTTGTTTTTCCTGGATATTCTTATAAATCACTTGGTAACAGACTCTGGAAGTGAGTCTTCCTCAGTTTGTTGGCTGCTCAGGACATTGTATTGCAAATCCTGTCTGTAAGCTTGCTTTGTGCCCTGTGACTGGATGGATTTTACCATTTTATCTTCTGAGAGATTTTGGAAGAACTGCTGTGTCTCTGTTATTAATCTACCTGTATTTTGGATTTGCTCTTTGGGTGGGATAGTTGGATATCTTATAAATTACTAATGTTTCTGAAATGTCTTTAGAGTACAATTCAGCCATAGTCCTCAGGGCAGTGATTTTGAGTGGGTTTTTCTGTCTATGGGTTGGTTGGGGTTTTTTTTAGGAAGGGCAGTGGTTTTGATAACAATCAAGATAAATGGGTTCATTTTTATGTTTAATGTCAGCTTCATGAGATGTCTATCAAATAATCACCAGAATACCCTTCTGATCACTGTCAGGAGCCAAAAGAGGCAAATGGCAACCCTGGATTCCCCCTACATGAGGAAGCCTTTGGTGACACAACTAGCTGGTACTGCTCTACAACGTTACACAGTTGTAGGAACCAGGTGGAGGCTGAAGGGGAAGGTGTTCCTTTGCATATACTATAATTTTCATCTGAATTAGACAGTTATCACAAACAGACGGTTGTGTTGGTAGGAGCATGCTGAACTGAGGGTAGGTAACATGATGTCTGGTGCATAAGCTTGTTGTCAGACAGGGTGGTGGTTCTGCAGTACATGACAGGTTAGGGTTGCTCTTGTCTGGGCCCTGAAGGAACTTGAGGTTTTCCTTAGTCCATTTCAGAAGACGTTCCAAATTTTTCTTTGATACCTTGCAATAGAAATATGACAGGTCCTCCAATGAATCTTCCTAAACCAACAAGGATTGAGCTCCTCTGTAGATGAAGAGTGTGGGTTTTGTTCTTCGTGCAGATGAAAAAACTTGAAAAGGATGGTGAAGGAGAGTATAAAAGCTGTCAAGTCCTATGGGATGCTTCTCAAGTGACGATGGTGTCTCCATCTCAATGCTGCTCTACTTAGTCATTGAGGTTCTATATGTTTTGGGGAGAAGGTGGATGGGACAAATTAGGTCTGGGT